AAAATAATTTCTTTCAGGATATGCTTACTAAACGAGTTTACCATGTTTCTATTGTATGCAAGTTTATAACAGACTGATAAATTAGAAGGGTCAACTTCAAACTTACCAATGGGGACAAATGGTGCCTCTTTAGCTTTTCGGATAAATTTGGATCCCTGATCTTCATCATATGAAGAAAGAGAAAGATCTGTGTCAGTTGACATAATGCTTGCTTGAAGAATCTTCCTGAAAGAGAAATTCTATGAGGCTACATAATTAAAAGCATCTAAAACATTATTAAGTACCTGGATATTCTTAAATTATTTCTAATTTCTATAAAAAACCTTATATATATTATACATATACTTAAAAAATATTTTTAGAAATTAACTATATTTTTAACCTATGGACACCATTAGGGAGAGTTGTAGATATTTATTTCCATTATCATTTTGCTTTTTCCCTCATACAACTAATTCCCTTTTAGCACCATATTATTAAAACAGTGATATTAAAAAATTTAAATGACTTTTATTAATTAAAATAGCAGCTACTAATTATGTGGCCATCTTTAATCTTAATCAACTTCAACTTGACAACTTTCAGTTACTCAAACCAAACACTGGCAACTCCTTATTGACCCATCAATATCATGCTTTGGAAATCCTACTAAGCACTTTTAAGTTTATTTAAATGCAGCCTTTATTACTTTCCACAGCTGATTTATTTACTCCAATGTGCTACCTGGTTCCAGTTCTCACCTCTGAATAGCTTCTGGATCTATTACACTAATCTCTGTTATCATGATGGTTATTTTTGGGGAAAAGATTATAGTTATTGTGAATAGCCAAAATTTCTACCTAGCTCATTATTTATGCCTTTTATATAATGTTGTTAGAAAAAAATGCCTCCTTTATAGCCTTTTAATTTATTTATGACATAGGGTTACCATTTTCTTTTTATTCTTTTTTTTGAGACAGAGCCTCAAGCTGTCCCCCTGGACAGAGTAGAGTGCTATGGTGTCACAGCTCACAGCAACCTGAAACTCTTGGGCTCACAGGAGTCTCCTGCCTCTGCCTCCCAAGTAGCTGGGACCACAGGCGCCCACCACAATGCCTGGTTATTTTTTGGTTGCAGCCGTCGTTGTTTGGCAGCCCGAGCTGGATTTGAACCCTTCACCTTAGGTGTATGTGACTGGTGCCTTAGCCACTTAAGCCACAGGCACCCAGCCAGGGTTACCATTTTCAACATCACTACAACACAAAGCTGAACAATACTCGGAGCTTTTTTTTTTGTAGAGACAGAGTTTCACTTTATTGCCCATGGCAGAGTGCCCTGTGTCATCATACAGCTCACAGCAACCTCCATCTTCTGGGCTTAGGCGATTCCCTTGCTCCAGCCTCCTGAGTAGCCCCACAATGCCTGGCTATTTTTTAATTGCAGTTTGGCTCGGGCTGGGTTTGGACCTGCCACCCTTGGTATATGGGGCAGGCGCCCTGCCTGCTGAGCCACAAGTGCCGCCCACTCAGAGCCTTTTTAATAAGAACAAAATCAAAAACTTAATTACCCTCATGGGCTTTCTCTCTCTCTCTTTTTTTTTTTTTGAGACAGAGTCTTGTTCTGTCAACCCAGCTAGAGTACAGTGGTGTCATCATAGCTCACAGCAACCCCACACTCTTAGACTCAAGCAATCCTCCTGCCTCAGCCTCCTGAGCAGCTGGGACTACAGGCACCTGCTCCAACGCCTGGCTAATTTTTTTATTTTTAGTAGAGACAGGGGTCTTGCTCTGGCTCAGGGCTGGTCTTGAATTCTTGAGCTCAAGCAATCCTCTCTCCTGAGCCTCCCAGGGTGCTTGGGATTACAGGGGTGAGCCACCACACATGTAAAGAATGAATACCTTCCCAGCTTCAGATCTGCCTTCCTTACATCCCCTAGGCTTCTCCTCAAAATTCCCTACTTTCTTATAATAGTATTCCTTTAAATGGTATCCCAAAGGCAAGATACTAGCCTGTCACATGAGTAAGGGGATAGAAAAAAACAGATTCATTTCTGTTATCACAGGGAGCAAAGGCTCCTTTCTTCCTTTTTAGTCATCTCTCACAAGGGGATGTTAACAGCCCTTTCATTACAATGAAATGTTAACAAACTCAATTTCGCCTTAGTCACAGTAACTATGTATACTTTCTTCTTCACTGAACTACAATATCTTCAACTTGCCAAAGATAAAATAAGGAAGTCCAATATAGTGTATCATTTAAGTGCACAAGTCTCTAGTGTCAATTACAATAAACTAAAAAAGTCAACTGTCCATCTCATTGCCCATATAAAATCTTACTTTTACTCTGGGTTTTTCTTCCACATCATACTCCCTTTGATTAAGAGTAGCTCTCATTCAACACTTTACTGTTAAAGGGGAGTTAGTGGCAATTAAGGGCCTCAAAGAAAATGTACCTCCAGAGGTGGAGAATGGTGGGTTCTTAGTCTGAAAAGTGAATTCATCCCTCCAAGCCCTATCCCCACTGAGAAGTTAGCCCTGTCATCGGACAGAGAAGAAAATCTTTGCTAATTTCTAATTCAAATTAGAAATAGACTGTGTCTTCTTGCTTGCAGTCCATTATTTCCTAATTGAATAAAATACTTACTAAGCTTTTATTATACACAAGATTCAATAAGCTCAAGGTTCATGATGCTCAATATACATTTGAAGAGATAACCCAAACACTGAAATAATTAATGGTTCAAAAATCAGATATTTTCTAAAAAAAGGACGACAAAATGTGATTAATGGCCAATAGCATAACAGAGAAAATGAGGACTGAATTTGGAGGGAGTGAAATCTTTTACCTAAAGGAGATTTGAGAGAAAACACTTGACGCTGGCTTTGAAGAAAATGCATAAATAGACTAGATGAAGAGATTAAACACTATGTTTATTAGTTATCTTCACACCTAATCATAAACTTCCCAAAGATGTAACTGTATTGATCACTAATACCCCTCACATCCCTTCCCAACCCCACATTCTGTTTCTTTCAGATGTTCTCTATACTTCCAAGCCTTTGCACATACTGATTCTTCTGCCTTGAACAGCTTTCCTCCTTTTCCTCCCCCCTTCAGATATTCTTCCTTAGCGAACTCCTTTCATCTTAATAGATCTCCTTTAGGAAGTCTTTGATTCTCTAAATTTGTGATAACTGTTTTGGTTACACAGTCCCATAGGACTCTGTGTTTTTCTCTATAACAAATCTATAACCTCCTGTTTGTCTGTTTCTTTTGCTAGAATTCTAGAAGTCAGGGGCCTACACCCGCACTGCTTGTATCTCTCTCCATTGCCTGGTGCTCTGTATGTAATAAGTACATCACAAATGTTGAATAAATTTAAGTTATATTTCTCAACAATTAAAATTATTCTTAGGAAATTTACTTAGGAAGATTTGGCAAAAAAAAAATAGTTACATGCATTTGTGGAGCTTAATCAGTTAGTAAGAAAAATGCCTTAACTATATGTATCTAAGTGCTTATTAATTTTATAATTCTTTTACTGAAGAAAGAAGAAATGGGGGTGGTACCTGTGGCTCAGTAAGTAGGGCACTGGCCCCATATACCGAAGGTGGCGGGTTCAAACCCGGCCCTGGGCAAACTGCAACAAAAAATAGCCAGGCATTGTAGCAGGTGCCTGTGGTCTCAGCTACTTGGGAGGCTGAGGCAAGAGAATAACCTAAGCCCAAGAGCTGGAGGTTGCTGTGAGCTGTGACGCCATGAAACTCTACAGAGGGCGACATAGTGAGACTCTTGTCTAAAAAAAAAAAAGAAAGAAAGAAAGAAATATCCAACAGGTCAATACAGAAAAAGCATTTTTTTTTCTTTTTTGGGGAAGGCAGATGGTTGTTTCTTGCCTGTATATAAAAGAAGGTCAAAAGAAAATCTTTCTGTAGTCCTCACTTATCCAGGTGTCCTCAAACTGCGGCCTACCTAGGACATTTATCCGGCGGGCCACTGCCTGTTCTGCTTAGCAGCCAACTCATCCAGGGGCTCGCAGTCTGGCCCTCCAGTGGTCTGAGGGACAGTGAACTGGCCCCCTGTTTAAAAAGTTTGAGGACTCCTGAATTCTGAAGCTTACATGAGTAGGACATTTGGCCTGGCTTTCAGAAAGTAGCCCCTGAAGAATGAATCAGGGTCTGGAGAACCAAGTTCATTGTTTGCTTTAAATGGTTAATGATAATCTGTCTCTGATCCAGAATACCTCCTGTGCACATTTCAGGATGAAATTAGCAAAGATGATTCTAGGTCACCCCAGAATTAAAAAAAAAAAAAATTAGTGAAGATGAATATTAAAATCCAATACATATCAGTTGTTACTCTACAGCTCAAATTCTATCTTTATATCTTAAAGGACAAAATTCTAATATAGTATATATCTAAAACACTCTCTAAATATAAAATTTTGATAATTTTCTAATTACCACCTAGGCATTTCCCAAGTATTCATGATTTTACAGCTGCCTGAAGTTAATGTGGTTAACTTTTATAGTATCAGGATCAAAAACCTCAAGTCATATAATTTGAAAGTAACAAATGAATCAGATGATTAATCCAAGCCAACAGCCTTATTTTATGGGAGGAGAAAGGGTTTTGAGGGATTATATGAATTCTTCAACACCAGGAATACATCTCTAACAGGGTAGTATTAGAACCCAGGTCTCCTGTTTTACAGACTCTTTTGATTGACAATATATTAGCAAATCATTAATCTTATGATGCTGGTGAAAATTTAATCTGAAAATTTAACAATTCATTACTTCACAGAAGCCTCTATCACTGTCTTTGAATTGTAAAAAGTATTGTTATAACTTAAGTTAAACAAACTATTCTCCAGTGACTTAACTCATCCAACAATTTCAATAGATTTGAAAAGATTTTTTTCACTAGCACCACCGCTAGATTTTCCTTTATTATTATTGTTTTTTCATCCATCCACAGTGACCGTTGACCCAGATCTCTGTCAGAAAGTTGAATAGATGCAAAAATAGGTACCCCGGCTCAGTGCCTGTGGCTCAAGCCGCTAAGGTGCCAGCCACATACACCTAAGGTGGCAGGTTCGGATCCAGCCCAGGCCCGCCAAAACAACAATGACGGCTGCAACCAAAAAATAGCGGGGAGTTGTGTGGGCGCCTGTGGTCCCAGCTACCTGGGAGGCTGAGGCAGGAGACTCGCTTGAGCCGGGGAGTTGGAGGTTGCTGTGAGCTGTGATGCTACTGCACTCTACGCAAGGAGATAGCTTGAGGCTCTGTCTCAAAAAAACAAACAAACAAAAAAACAAAAATAGGTACCAATAACTAGATATTCAAAGTCAGTTTGAAGAACAAGAATTATTCTGTAAGCTCAGTAACATACCACTAAAGACCCTTCCAAATGTATGGCAACCTAAAAGTATAAGGAAAAATGAACTGTCCAGCATCAGGTGATGTAATCACCTGAAGGTCCTTCAGTCTATACCGAAGGATCATAATAGACCGAAGGATCTTCACAGCCCTCATTTTGTCACAGAAACTACTATCTAAAACAATGTTTCAAACTGATTTTGCATCAGTCACCCATCAGCTTGTTTAAAATGGCTGCCAACGCCCCATTCTGGAGATTCTGATTCAGATGGTCTAAGGCAGAGCCCAAAGAATCTGTATTTTAAGAAGCCTTTTCAAGGGATTTTGGTACACAAGGACGGAAGAGACTCCTTACTATACAGGACTCCAAATATGTGTGTCGTGCAAGAACGTGGTACCACGTCAATCTGTCTGAACTTTTCATTCAAACCTGCTATACTCAACAGTGCCTTGGTAATTTTGGAAGCTCAGATTCCTTCAGTACGGATTACTCCGAAGAAGGTTGTTAGGTAATAGCTGCTTCCTGCCCCAGGAATAAAAAAGAGAAAGGCAAATAACACTGCCGAATCATTTCGGCTACTCCCAATTCTAAACTCACATTACGCTTTGTAATCTTTAACCCGCAGTCTTGTCAATAAAAAATTTTAATTCCATCACAGTTGCTTTACACGAGACCCTTTAGGCCTTCCTACCTTCACAGGGTTAGGTCAGTGTCGCAAAGCCTGGGAGGACAAACCAGGTCGGGGAGAAAGAAAGACCAGGACTGGATAGTCCTCTGGTTTTACTCCCTCCCCTCAACGTCTCAACCTTCCCTCCTCCCCACCAGTCCCTTCTCTCTTCCAGTGACCTTGTCAGAGCGCTTGCACCCCCATCCTGCCTCGTCCACCGCTCAGCCCGGCCCGCAAGAAGGCTCCAAGCTCGGGGTACGCCCCTGGCTACCAGCTCCACCAAGTCGGCCCCAGCACTCCCCTCCTCCGTCTCTCACAACCGCCCCATCAGCAAGTCTGCCCCTCTCAGCAACGACTCACTCCAAAAGTTTTTGCTTCCTCTCCTTGCTGTCTCCCTACACCTGATAGGACCCCAGGCCTCGCTTTCCGATGCCTCATGTCCCCTGATCCTCTAGTCGGGTTGAACCCAGGCAACTACACGCTGCCCCCTTCCTCCCAGGCATCACCCCTTCTCAGCCCCGCGAACCCCAACCCTCCCAAGGTCTTTTCAGCCTGGCCAACCCCTGCCCCACTTCTTCCCGCCCCGCGGTCGCAATACCCCCTCATGCTGGACTTACAAAGAGAGAGAAAAGCCCAGACGATCCAACCTGCTTTGCTCCCAGCCAGCGAACCTCGTCCGCCGGGCTTTCCACCTCCCCGCTCCGCCCTCAGCTGCCTCAGCCAATTAGAAGCCAGCAGCCGGCACGCGGGGGTTGGGACCGGCCGGGCCAGTGCGTGCGTGTGCGCGGTGGGTGGGACGACCCGGAGCGGGGATAGGATTGGCTGGGGCGTAACTCGCTCGCGATCCGGCCAGGCTCTACGGTACAAAGCGTGTGGGACGTGAGAGTTGGGCGTCTTGGAGTCTGGGCTGGACTCTCGTGGTCAGCCTCTGGCCCCTGGCCCTAGGGTACCTCAGATTTCTTTCCTTCGCTCGGGCAGCGAGGACGAACACCACAAACGCAGTGTCCCGAGCTCTGGCCACCTGCTAAACGCCGCGCAGGTTGCGACGGGCTGGGGGCGAGGGTTTCGCGAGCGGCCGGACCTCGGGAGGCGACGGCCGAGGTGGGAGCCCGAGCTTGGTCTCGGGAGCTCAGACGGCGGTGGGACGATGAGCGCCCGATCCGCTTCGCCGCCCATGTGCCCGTGGACGTGCGCTGTCTGCTCCCGGGGACCCTTCCTGGAGCTTACCCTCCAATGATAGGCGGCCACTAACCGCAGGCACCGAGTCGCGTGAACTGCGACCTCACTCAGACCCGGGAGGTTTCGGTGGGGACGGAAATGGCAGCGCCCCGCGTGACAGCGAGCTTCCGGGGACCGGGCTCCTCATCTCTTCATAAATAATCAGTAATAGCCTGGCCAGTGGGTGCAGAGCATCGAGGCCAGGGCTATGGGGATTATCTATGACTTAATTAGGGTCTGTTAATATGACCAGAGAACAAGGCCGACTGCCCAGTACTCTGTCAGACAGCTGGAAACTGTCATGGGCTCTGGATTCATTCGTCTCATAATTGAATTAAGACACATGTAGGAAAAATGTTATGCTATGGGTGATTAAGAACTCTCATATTTTGATTTATGTAGCTTTCAGCTCTTTGAAGCCACTTTTTTTTTCTTTTTTTTTTTTTTTTTGAGCCTGGGAGTAGCTCTGTCTACC